TACCTCATAATTGATTAATATAAAATAGTAATGAATCTTATAACCTAGGTACCTCCTAGTTTGATTCTCTTCTTGTATTATGTGAATTAATTACCCCGTCATTCAAAAAATAAAATAAAAAAAGATTGGTAACATGTACGTTAAGCACTTAACGGCATGTTATTTGGAGCTGTTGAGGAGATATGTTAAATTAGTACATAACAGGCGGGAAATAACAGTAATCTGGTATGAAAAACTTTCCATCATACGAACTTGCATCGTTACTGTTAAAACTCGGCCTAACATGTACGTTACGGATAACGTAAACGTTCAATCATAGGACCCATTACCTTTTGATGTTGATGGTCTTTTGTTAGCCATTACAACCATGTCTTCATTTTCTTCACTTTCTTGGGTGTTTTTTAAGTAATCCCATTTACTTATATCAAAATTTTTATTTTCTGGTAAAGGTAGCCCCACCTCAGGAGCATCAAGACCAGTAATTAAAATATCTCCTCCTGAAATAAAAGCAAACTATTACCTAGTAGGTACCTCGTTTTTTGGAAAAAAATTTACACATAAATTGAAAAGCTGCTTTAATTCTGAGTGAGTTTGGTAAACTCCTGATAGTCGTAGCTCCGAATAGGTATTATTTTCAAAAATTATTTTTTTATATTACGAATCAAACAATCCACTCTTATTGAACAACACTTCAATACTTACCAATGATGTCCAAAATTTTGTCATCCTCTGCATCGATTATGTCGCCTGTGTGAGGCCCTCCACCTGTTTTATTATGCTCTTTCTTGTTCTCCGAAACTTTTTTCTTTGTTCGGGTTTTCAGATCACTCCAAGTCTAATTTAAAAAAAAGATTTGTGTGGATATCTACATGCAAGAAAAAAATTCACTCAGAAGCACAATATATTTTTACCTTTCTCCATTCTTTCCATCCTTTCATGGCCCCTGGAATAGAATTTAATTTTCCACTTAGCTCCTGCCATAACTTTGTTGCGTCGGCATTGGTATGCTGATTTCCTTGTTTTTGTTTCACTAATTGTGGATGCTCTTCCAGGTATGAAATCAAGAGTGATTTTTGCTGTGGAGAAATTACCTTCTTAGCCATTGGAACCAATGACATGCCTTCACACAGATTTATAAGCTTCTTCAGTAAAAGCCAACAAACATATCATTCGACTATTTGACAATCTTTCATTTGAAATTGTCAAATTCTATATTCGGAACACTGGCAAATTTGGCGATGCCAAATTGTGCTATGCGAATTCAATCTAGACGCTGCGCTTAGCAACGAGAATACCGAAACTGGACGCTTAGCGAAACTGCTGTACGAGACGCATACCAGGCGATTCGCTTAGCGCTTCCAAAACGTATCGTTTTTGAGCTGTTTTACGAGAATACCGGTCCAGATCTCTGGACCGGTATTCTGGTTCTCAAAAACGCTCACCGCTTTCTAGTCGCTCGGCACTTTAAATGCAAATTTACATTAAAAGTGCCGAGTGACTGAAAAGCGGTGAGCGTTTTCGAGAACGAGAATACCGGCCCTGGGCCGCGCGGTATTCTGGTCCTCGAAAACGCTCACCGCTTTTTAGTCGCTCGGCACTTCTAATGTAAATTAACATTGAAAGTGCCGAGAGACTAAAAAGCGGTGAGCGTTTTCGGGAACGAGAATACCGGCCCTGGCCCTTTTTAAGACGGAGTAGCCCGTTGGCCACTCTTTTTCGAAATTGGCCTGTTTCTTCATAACAAGCCAAATCATAATTTTTTCATGCAAAATAAACGTTTTTGGGCGTGGCACCCGAAAAAAATTTCGGCCTCCGGCGGCGCCTGCGGCACGCTATCTCTCTTCTTTTTTGTTTAAGATGAGTTTGCCCGAAATTCTGGAGTCTGGCCCCATTTACAAATATAATCTGGCACGAAATTTTCAGAGCTTGTGGCAACACTGGGGACGTCAATAGAGATAGCGAAAATATCTCTATTCGTTACAGAATCCAAGCTCAGCTCTACAAGAAAATCGCACTAGTAAGTAGCATTTCTTGACAATAGAAAAAGCCTTTGACCACACCTCCTTCAACTCCATAGTCAGAGCTGCTGGGGCAACATGCGATTAATGATACCACATGCAGATGGATCAAATCCATGCTAAAACACAGGACTATAAACTCGACTATTACTGAAACCTCTATTAAAGTAACCGCGACTAAAGGATGCCCACAGGGAGAAGTACTTTCACCTCTTGTGGAATCTAGTCGTGGATGAATTTCTGAGGAAACTAAACGATCACCCTAGGCTAAGCGGATGACATAGTCGTTGTCATTAGGATTTACTAGGAAGGTATCCAAGCCTCATGCAGGACGCGTTAGGAATCATTGAGGAATGGTACTTCGCGTCAACCCCCTCCAAAACAAAACTCATTCCTTTCACGAGAAAAAGAAATCTGGAGGATTTAGTCGCCCCCAGTCTATTCCAAAAAATCTTAAAGTTTGGCATGGAAGCTAAATTTCTAGGTATCATCCTAGATATGAAGCTGACATGGAATCAACACATCCAAAAAATATCCACCAAAAGCAAGATGACGTTAATGTCACTAAAAAGGGCGATTGGGAAAACATGGAGACTAGAACCGTAACCGTCAGTTGTACAATGGATATACATTACGGTCGTAAGACCAATGATAACATATGGTGCACTTGTATGGTAGCTTAAAGTAAACCAAAGACAAACAAACCTGGAGCTAGCCAAAATCCAGAGACTTGCATGTCTTTGTATTACCGGTGCACTACACAGAAAAGCAGATTAACGGCAAGCATGGAAACAATCCAAATCCTCCCACCATTTGACCTTATCGTCAAGCTAAACTAAAAGGAACCTAAAACCAAATGGACATGCGGCAATTACCAAAATAATCACAAACCCTATTTTAACCATGGGTAGTGAATATATGATGCCGAAAAAATTCCTTGAAAAAACCTTCGACATCAAGATTGTCCCAGTAGGAAATACCGGGGCAACACCTAAACAAGAAATTGTCTGGTTTACTGACGGCTCTAAAACAGAAACTGGAACCGGCGCTGGAATATATGGACAAACTGCCAGATGGGAGAATACACTACTGTATTCCAAGCATAAATATATGCCATCGACTCCTGTCTGAGAGAAAACTTAATTTAAGGAGGGGATAGACAGGTAAAAACATCCTTATCTGCTCAGACAGTCAAGCGTTGGTCAAAGCTCTCAATAGCTTTGGAATAGAATCCTAATTTGTCTGAGAATACTTGGAAAACCTTTAAAACCTAAGTATAGCCAACAAGATAACCCCTATAAATAGGTGCTAGGGCATAAAAGAATTGAAGGAAATGAAAAAGCAGATGCTTTGGCAAGAGAAGGATCAGCAACCAGTTATACTGGTCCTGAACCGGCAACTGGCACCACAAAAACCATCGGTAAGAACAAAAATAAACCAATGGGTGTATAGACTACACCAGACACAGAAAGCTAATGTTATAACAACCATCACTTAAACTTATTGAAAAGATCCTACACCTAAACAGGCATCAAATAAGTCTAATAACTGGACACTGTAGCCTGAGAAAACAACTTCAACACAATGGGAATCCTCCAAGGAAGAACCCATATGCAGACTTTGTGACGAGGAGGATGTGTTGGGGCTACCTAACCCCCTGTTGACTCTGCATCTCAACCAACCAACCAATCAACTTCAAATTAACTTTTCCTCAAACAAGAAACTTCAATTCATAAATCCTGGAAGTTTCAAGTCACTGTGATCAATAGGAGAGGCAAGTTTTTAAAATCATCAATCTCATGGCGTTTCGGATTGGTAGATCTAGTGCGGAACTAGTGAAATTTTTTCTATTTCTGTCTTTTTCTTCTACAGGTCGCTTAAAAAGATGCAAATACACTCAGTGCGCACTGAATCTACCAATCGGAAACGACATTACATTCGCATTTTCACCGATGTATTGCTGTCCTTGTCATTTGACAGCAGCAAAACAAGGATAAGTTGCCCATCAGGAGAAATGTGCAGAAGCAATAGACCTATCTATTTTTACCTGTATGCGCGCGCAACACGAGGCAATGCATTTTTATTGGCTAACTAATACAGGTGAGAGGTGTTCGTTTTGCACTCTAGGCATCTCCTTGTCTTTGTTCATTGCCCGTGGTCAGGGGCCTTATTCTGTAAGGAACGAACCGTTCGATTCGGTAGAATTTCTTCGATTGTGACGTCATTTTCGGTTTAGTAGCGCGAAAACCAAACCAAAAATGACGTCACAATCGAAGAAATTCTACCGAATCGAACAGTTCGTTCTTACAGAATAAGGCCCCTGACAAGGATCAGAATTATGGTTGATAAATAACTTGACGTAGCTTGACAAGTGATCGATTTTCCATTGTTTGTGTTTTTGATTGACAAATACGTTGCACGTCACGCGGTTTTCCTCCTTCCCTTTCTATCCTCTGCAAATAATAAGAAGGGATTGCTATACATAAGTCTAACTGATGGTTTGGTACGTTTTGCCTCGTCTTGCGCAATAAGCGTTCTGCGTCTTTTTCTTATTATTACCTCTTTGTCTGGTAAAATAGATAGATCTATTGATGAATTTAAAAAACTTGCCCAAGTATTTTGGACAAGTGATTTTTACAGTTCTTGAATTTGTCGAGATAAAGAAAATTCAAAAGCCTGGAATTGAAAAAATATGAATGTCCTGATTATTCAAAACATTGACATTCGCGTTTAACGAATGACTTATTATATGTATAATGGTTTCAATTTGGAAAAATCCTTATTGATATGCATGTGTATCGATATGTATATCCTCTATACAAAATGGCTACTGACCTGACGTATTTTATAACGTAATCTTACGGCATTTGTAACTACGTCATAAAAACACGTACTTTAACGTCATAAAATCACGTTTCCGTCATTGGAAAGGTGAAAATAACGTCTATAATCTCACAAAATATAACATCAAAAATTGCTTACCTTCACGTTTTTCCTTCACAGTCGTAGCACTACCGTAAACCAAATCGGTAGGGCTCGAAGTGGTAGTTCCGTATTGGACGCAAGTGCTGGACCCAGTTACACTTCCGATTGGGAAAGTGAATGGGCTCATGTTAAACTGAGTGTACTGGTAATGTTGCACGTAAGGCCTGGCAACTGATGGTGGGGCGTGATAGGGCACCAAAGGGGGCAACGGGGCTCTAAATCCCACCGTAGCGGCCGGATAGTAAGTCGGGTAAATGGCCCCGGGGCAGTTGCAGTGCACGTGGTGCATGTGCAAGTGGACATTTTGCGGATTCGGATTGGTTTCGGAACGATTGTGCTGATCCATTTTCTGTGAAACTATCCAATCAAATATTGTTAAGAATTGAGATATTTTTGTGGACTCACCTAACTGAATTATTCTTAAATAGGCACTGCAAAACAACTATAAAACGTTTTGGGGAATTTTCTATCAATGCGCGGTCATGTTTCGTGAGGTTTTGGCTTAAAGTTAGTGAGACAAACTGTTTTTCTTGCAACTTTTCAAAATGGAAGTTTTTTTTGAAAGTTTTTTTTGGTTGCCTGGTGCTGGAAAACAAGTGACGTACATCGCCTACTCGGGTTTTTAATGAAATTAATGCAAATTAACGCTTCTGAAGCTGTTTTTTGCTGCTAATTCATCATCTAAAGCTGTTAATTAGTTGAATTAATTGAGAAAATGGCTTCTAATATTGTATTTTTACAAAAACAGGCATTTTGTGTATTGTTTCAATTGTCAAAAAATAGATGGCGCCAGGTGTTTTTTTGTCATTTTTCCTTTATTACCGGTACTTGACTTGGTTTTCATTAATAAAACCAAAACACACCCGAAACTGAACTAATACGGCTGCAAATTTATTATAATATTCAAAAAACAACAATTCCAATAAATAATGTTGTATTGAGTTAATAGGAATTTGCTTTTAAAACACGTGTGCAAAATTAGGTTGATGACAAAAGAAAAACTATATCTGTCTTTTTCTTTCACAAGATGATAAAAAAGGACGCAAATGTTCGAATCGAATAATAAGCAAAGAGTGAAGGATATAGTTTAGTTCAGTACAAGTAGTGCAGCTTGAAATGGTTGAATTACTCCAAATTAGGAATATTTACTTTATTTGGTACGTGAGGTAAAAGTGCAGGAGTAGTAACATGGAGTTGGAAAATGAAGCCGTTTTTTTCCAGGTATTTTGGCATCAAAAAAATGGCGGTATTGGCGATTTCGATTACCGATGGGGGCGCTGCAAGCGCTGGCGTTTGTAAACAAATATGGCGGAGAACGAATATTTTGACGTTCAGCATTGTATTTTTTTTTATATATGGATTCATATTTCTTTCGCTAATTTTCTCGTTATTCTCGTAGTTTTTCCGGTGGTTTTTTACTATATTTTATAAATTTTGAACGTTGTGACTTTCTTTTGTACATTTCGTATCCATACAACACGAAATATGGAAAATGGAGGCCTGTTTTTGAGTTTGGCCACAGTTTTTATCCTACCTGCTGGCTGGCGTAGAAAGCACGATCACTATTTTTCTTAGGAAAATAATGAAAATGTATATTTTAGTTTGGACTTGGAGGCAGATGCCATTGAATTCCTGTAATAATAGCACGTCACAGAATCAAACTAGCTTTCCCTTTATCCTTTACTATTTCCCACTTTTCGACACAAAACACGTACAGTGGGAATCATTGCAATTGGCACACACTCTTTAAAATCCCTCGTATTAAGTCAAAATTCTAACCAATAAATCTATTTAGTGCAGCATTTTGCTATTATACTGTGTGTCAGATTTGACACATTAACGTGCCGGTACTTTTGCTCTCATTTGACAGCCATTAAAAATAATCACGGCTTAGAATGTGCTCTATTCGCATCATACTTATAAACCTTGGCCCATGCAAAACTTTGACAACGTATCAAATTCGTTAATCGAGAGCAAAAGTATCGGCCCTGAGAGGAATATTTATATATAGTGTGTGCCAATTCCAATGATTCCCACTGTACCTAACCTAATTCAAATTAGGAACGAACAGAAGACATCGAAAAAGTAAGAAAATATTCCAATAGAATATGTAAACCAACGATCTATTACTCGTTAAGTTAGTTCCAAATATTTCCGCCAGGTGCCGCATTGGTTTTTGAATCGCCAATAGGCAATTCCTTAGGGCAATTTAATGCTTTACTTGGGGCGAGTTATGGCTAGACAGTGCTATGGGCCCAATGGCCAATTGTCGATTCAGGCACACCCATAAAATCGCACTCGCACCCTGTGCGTTATTTATGAACTCGGCCCTCTATTTTGGTTTCAAACACCTGCCATAAACTTGGCTTCACAGTTTCATAAGCAGAATGGCGCGTTCCTACTCCTTATGTAGGATAGCGCTTTACCTGCTCTAAGGTACGTCATAATTATCAGAAAAAGGTAACTCAGATGCTCAGGGCCCCAATTTTCACACTTTGAAACATCAGAACCACATAAATAAATCTCTTATTCTGGCTGAATTTTAGTGTTCCATAAATCTCCTAATAATAATGATTTCTTCTAGACATGATTCTGATCCAAGTTGTTCTAGAGCCTAAAAAAAATCTGATTTGAATATATCTGGATCAGATTAGACTCTTGAATAGTCTGGATCTGAATCATGTCTGAAAGAAATGAAATTACCAGAAAATTCAAAGCTTTCCAAAATGCTCGTGGACGAGTCTTATCAAAGAGTTTTAAATTGGTTCAAAAGAGTTTCCAATAGGCTCTAAATTGAATCTATATTGTAAGTTTCTAAATTCCTTAATGGTTCTGAAGTTTCCAAAATGTTTTTTTTTTAAGCACTAATATAGAATGTTTTTGAAAATTCTGAATTGAATTTTAAGTGTTTTAAAGTCTTCAAAAGTCTTAGGCTACGGCCAAGCTTGCAACCAGGTCTCTGTGTTGTAAATTCTTTGCAGATGGCAAGGCTAATCCCGCGATAGCGTTTTTTTACTCCAGACTCCAGTTCAGATCAAACCATGGAAGACGATTATACTGCGTTAGCACTTACTCCAGTTCCAAGTCAACACCCACGACTTGGTTGATCATTCATTGCCAAACCGCCAGAGCATTTGCAAGACCGAAGGGCATTCTTTTGAAATGAAACAGTTCCCTATTAGGAATAGTGAAAGTTGTGAGAGGCCTAGACTATTTTGCAACCAAAAGCTTTGCATCACGGAGTTTATCGAGTGTAAATGACATAAAAGGGATTGGATAACTATCCTTCACCGTTACACTATTCAGGCTTTAATAGTCTACGCAAAATCTCAAACCTACACCACTCTTCTTTACCATAACTATGGGGGAAGACCAAGGGGAGTCTGATGGCTCAATGATGTCCTTTTCCAACATTTCCTCCAACTCAGCATTTACTTTATTCTGAAGGGTTCTCGCTGTTTGATGGGCCTGAATTGGTTTTGATTTTCAACTCTACCAAATTCGTGCAGACTTCATTGAAAAAAAAAAAATGTCTCCTATTACGAACTCCAGAAGCTTCTGTTGCTCAGGAGAAAGAGACCCATTTAGGGTAATGGCCGAAGAGATGGATGCCACTCTGGCTTGGTGACTGTAGAAACACACCATTCGTTAGCATGAAGATCAGGAACTATACCCATCCGGGTCCAAAAATCAATACCCAAGATGACAGTGTGTGATAAAGATATAAAGATGGAACCATCAATCACCAATTTATCCAAGAGACTGACGCGGTCTCTCAAGGAAATAGGGAATCGAACCATGCTAGCAATAGAGCAACTTTGACCATTTGCCACGGTGCAATTGGTTATTGGGATATACCCTACAAAGGGGCTTGAAAATCTCCCAACCAGAAGATCCAATAATGGTTTTTGATGCGCCACGTACTATCTAACAACCCAAGTAATTCTTTTCTAAAAAATACTATAGAGCTGAAGTTAAATTAGAGAATGTTTGACCATTTTGAAGGTAAAGTGAAGCTCTAAATGCTCAATTTTGACCATCATAAAGCTAAAAAATTTCTGACAATTATTGAGTTAAATTTGAACCAAGTAGTTTGAGAAACTTTATTGATTTTTTTTGCATTCAAATCCAGAAGAGCTCAAAAAATTCAATGCATGAAATCAAAACTATATGAGAGCCAAAAGTCAATAAACATCCTCTATTTCTGTCAAAAATTTAGCAAGTAAAGAATGTTAGGCATTATTGGACTACCTATATATTTTTTTTTTTACTTTTACAGAAAACAAATCATAATATCTTCGAGACACTTCCTATGTAAATCGGGAACCAAACAATCGTCAGCAGGATAACCAACAGGCAACAAGAGCGTCAGTTTTTCAGAATTCGGCCTCTCCAGTAAACTCCTAAGAGCCGGTCCACAATTTAGGGGAGTCGATGTTAGAGAAACTAAACCAGCGTTCTAAATTAAAATAACATGTTTTTTGAATTATAAAATAGCTTTAATACTCACTTGAATTGCTGCCAATAAAATCCCCGAAGCCATTGCGACACTTTGCTCGTTATAATAATGTATTTTTTTAGTACCATCCTCTTTGAAGCTGTAGATTTGTTTGAAAACCAAAATCAAAAAGGGCGCATCAGTTAAGTACTCCTTAACCCAATTAGTTTTTAAAGGTTTCAAATCGGTAATCCACACTTTTCCCATGCGTTTTTTATAATTAATCTCCTCTTCCTCTTCGATTATTTCCCTAATTTTTTGTTTCATGTGCGGATTTGATACGACAACGTAAGTCCATGGTTCAGTGTGAGCACCACTCGGTGCAGTACCAGCGGTTTTAATCAAATTGTAAATTATCTCTTTGGGTACGGGTTGGGTGCTAAAATGCCTGACTGTGCGTCTTTGGTTCAACAATTTGTAGAATTCTTCGGAGTTTTTTAGAGATTCTTCCGTCGAGAGTTTGCTAAAATCGAGAGGAATGTGCTTTAGATCCAATGGAAGTGCAGGAATTTCTTCTGAATCGTATTCAATATAAACTACAATTTTTTGTAATAATTAAGTTTTGTATAAGTATTTGTGGAAACTTACCATCTTTTGTTGCGACAAGGTTTCGTCTATTTTTAATGCTCAAAGCAATTTTAACCACCACCCAAAGTAAAAGTCCACTCAAAAAATATTGCCAGTATAATTCAAAGAACATGTTGATACAAACTGATATTGGATTATCGATGTTAATTCAATATAAGACACAAAAAAGTTTCATTGACCTACATTTGGATATCAAATCACATGATTTATTTATAATTAATTAATTATAGGAATTACTTACTTATCTATTAAGGCACAAAAAGGTTCTGAGTTGACTGAAAAAATAATGCAAAGGTGTGGTGGCGGTAATGTATGTATTTCAACCCTAGTTATTAGGAAAATTAATTAGGCTTGCGTGATAGAATAAGGGTGTAATTGTGTTTTATTGAATTTTTACTACAACTGAAGTCTATTTTTGCTTGTCTCATACTTTTAAATAATAATTTTTTACATTTTCTTGTTAATTTGGTAAAGCGCATCTTAAATGTCATCAAAATTACTCAAAAATTTCAAATGAAAAGCTGGAGAAACTTTTAAAACAAGATTGATAGGGTTGCAGCAGCTCAGAATGTTCAAAAAGAACCTTATAATAGTTATTGAGAAACTCAGAAATAAGAAAATTTCTTTGTATTCTTGTATGTATTCCCACACCTACATTCTTTAATTTAATTTGGACTGCTTCAGAGATGTTCATTTTGTCATTAGCGAAATTTTCCAACGAATCAAGACCCTGGAATAATCAGAATTAGAACTAGAGCCGGTAATAATCAAAATTTGAAATATTTCCAGGATCTTTGATCCGTTAGGAAATTTATTAAAATTCTTCCTAAGATTTAAAGTGAATTGACAAAATCAAACAAACAATTCAATAATTTATTCATCTAACACTAAATACATCAGCACTTTTCTTAAACCCTTCAATATCCGTAATAAAATAGCTTTTATCCTTTCTAGCAGTAGCTTCAATTTCGTTTGAAATCAATTGCAACTTCAACTCGAGAATCTCCTCAGACTTTTCTGTATCTTTGCACCCCTCAATTTGAACACTCAACTTTCTTAAATTCTTGGAATTATGCGCCTCCCACCATTTACGCAGTTTCTTCAAACCACAACATTCAATTGCTTCGATTTCTTTTTTAATTCTATCAAATGTGTAATATTCATTTGTGATTTCCTCCCAATTCCTTTCGACTTCGTCTTGTAAATGTACATCAGTGCAGCGTTTTGTTTTAATTAGATTAGTTTTGATTTTTTCAAAGTCTTCTGCATTTAAGTTGGCCAACAAAGATTTTGTATGCTTCAAAAAAGCTTCAATTCTTTGATTTACAAATTCAGTGGTTACTTTTGTAGCTGAGGCTTTAACTTTTATTATAAAACCTAAAACCCCAAAAGTGTCTCTGACTGTACAACTAACATCATAGCCTAATTGCTCTTTGGTTCTCAATATGTCAAACAAAGGTTCTTCTATTATCATTGAAACTATATCAAACATTATACTGGTTTCTATGCTGTATAAATCTGATTGGTAGTAGTTTGTGATTATTGAGTTACGGTTTGATGGCTCGAAACATTTCAGTCTGAGACATTTTTCGCCTTTATCGAGTTTAGTTACTTTGAATAAAGGAATGTCTTGTTTGTTTAGTTGATTATAGTTTAGAGTTTTAATAAACTGATCAATTGTTGTAATAGCTGTATCACTATCAACATTGCCTTGCACCAGGACTTTAACATAAAAAGTCTTCAAAAATTCTTCAATATAATTTTTTATATCTTCAAAAGTGATTTCAGACATTGCCTTTACACGCTCTAAAGGATCCCAATGCTTATCAACCAACAAATTCAGCCTCATTTCTCTTGCAATTACGTCAGGCTTTAATAAAGTATTATTGCAATACTTTAGCAGTTTATCTTTGATGACTTCAAACATCTCTTCAGTAATCCTGGCAGGCAAATTCTTCAAATACTTAGACACAAGTTTTATTAATATAGGCAATTTTTCATTTAAGCCATGTATTTTTATGGTAAGGCCTTTTTCAAATTCAGCAAAGCTACAAGCCAAATTGGCTGAAGTTGCAGGATAAATTTCCTCAGCTATATCAATGACTAGAAGATTCACCAAAGCAAATAACATGCAAGAGTTTTTAGCACTCTTCAATGACAGCGGAGTTATTAAATAGAAATAATAATGGGCTTTAGGCAATTTAAATTTCATATCTCTTTTATACCATAACTCAACCAAATCACTTTGCAAAATTTTCGTAGGAAATTCAGGATTATTATCAACATCAGGCAAAATACTAAACTCTGTTGTAATAAAACAATTCACGGGAGGTATTGAAAGCTCTGGAATAAGCGGAGCATTTTGCCATTGCTTCAACCAATCCTGAGGTATATCTCTGACAAAATACTTAGTTCCAAACCATTTTTCGGTTTGACAATTCTCAATTTCCTTATCATCTAAACGCTTAAAAACCATATAATTTGCCTTTTCTGGACACATTTGATCTAAAATCATTTGAATTGTGGCAGGATCAAACTCATAATACAATTCAGATCCTGTAATATAATCTTCAGAGGCAAAATATTGCATTGCTTCACACATATCTTCAATAATATCGATGGCATTTTGCTCTTGCATAAACTTAAAGTTTGTATTCATTATAACTTGCAGCTCATTGAAAATTCTTTGCTGGGGCCCAATTTGCTTAAGCATTTTAATATAGGAAAAAACAACTTCAATTACTTGATTTAAATGCTTAAAGCCTTCAGCTGTGAGGTTTAAATTAATCGTAAAAAGCGTATAAAGGGAGTTATGCTCAATGCCACTTTCACTGTTGCCACTTGAAGAACTAATAACCCAAAGCTTCTTTTTTAAATATGACAATAAGCTACCCTTGCCTTCATCTCCCAACAAATGTGACAAAAAATGTTGCGACTTGCTTTTGTATTTGTTCAAAAGAGAGGGCAAGGCCCAAGTAATATCAACTTTGTATAAATCCTTTATAGGCACCACATGGTAAAGCCTATTAAAAGCAGCAGTATTAAAAACATCTTTATCTCCATAATTATCCCCAGGCAATTGATTATTAGGCACATTAGAAAACATTCTAACAACATATTGTTCTAATTGTTCTAAACTCATTCGGGCTTGTACTGCCAGAGTCATTCTATGAGCAGAATAATGCCTTTTACGAAACTCGTGCACCTTTTCATATAATTCATCATCATTTACATTATCTCTAAGCGTAATTAAGTTGCCCCAAGCAAAACTATTAACAGGAGATTCTGTTTTTGCTAAAGAGCACAATAGTTGCTCTTTTCTAGAGCTATCTGAAGGCACAGCCAATTGAAACTCTGAATCAATAGACTCCCTTTCCCGGGTCATAGCTTCTTTTTTCATCAAAGGACTTATAAAGAATTGTGAAAACCTATCTAAAGCCTCCTCTAAATGTTTGTCTAAACATTCAAAATAAAAAACTGTATTTTCAGCATCTGTAATTGCATTGTCGCTGCCGCCGTGTAGTTTAATAAACTCATCAAAAGAGTTTTCTTTGGGGTACTTTTCGCTACCCATGAATACCATGTGTTCGAGGAAATGGGCCATTCCAGGTACATCTTTTGGGTCACTGAAACTACCTACATTGATGCACAGGCCTGCGGCTGCTAATTTTTGTTCAGGACGTTTGCAGTGTCGGACTTGGTCTTCTTCTTCAGTGTCCATGTCTTCATCTGAAATAGGAGTGATATGGTTTAAGGAAGGTTTTGGATTGTTCATGCAAAACAGTTTAGATCTTAGATTGATGTTGAGAATCAATTAATGGTAAATTCGGTCCCAGCAGGTAGCTGATTAAATTAAACATATTATACCCTTTTATCGATGAGTAAATTCGGTCCCAACCATATGTTAATTGCTAGGGGTCAATTTCGTAGAAAGAGGTAATTAGCATAGACGCCGGAATTTCAAAATTACAATGGGGGCTTGGGCTCCAAAAGTTAACATAAGTAAAATTAATTAGACAGACAGGACTAGGCTACTAGACACAAAGACTTGAATGACAGATATCCATGTTGTCTCCCTCCGCTTCGCGATAGGGAAAATCTAATACTTTTTTCCCTTGCATAATGAATAACTATTATTAATGCGATGTTATATCTTTCGGTGTTAAAGTTGCTCAATATATTGGGATATAGAATATCATCCATAACTTTTTCGAATGTAGCCGGCGCGTTATTCAAACCAAAGAGCATGCGCAAGAATTCATAGTGCCCGTTTTCTGTGCTGAATGCGGTTTTTTCGATGTCGTTTTCCTGCATTTGGATCTGGTGGAAGCCCTAGCTAAATCTAAGGTGGTAGAAATACTTGCAGCGTTTTAGCTTATTCAAGAGATCCGTCAAGTTGGGTGATGGGTATCTGTTAACTAAGCTTTTTGTATTACAGCCCCTAAAATTTACTATACTATACTAAACAGAAACTGTTTGTCGAAATCAGTATAGCAAAAACAACAAAAACATAAAACACACAAGTTTGACATCAATATAAACAGTCTGTTTCTGCAGAAATCTCAAACCAGTCAGCGCAAATTTCATTGGTTGAAGACAGTCAGAAAACTTGGTTTAGCCAATGAAATTCACTCTGACTGATGAGTGATTTCTGCAGAAACAGACCTAAATAGTTAGGAATGTTAGGATCAGGAGCTCAATATTTTTGTACCTACTCACTACACCCACTACATACAATACCAAAATCACTATAGGGGCTCCGCCCCCGTAACATATTCACTACGGGGGCTCAAGCCCCCATTGCCCCTATGGTTCCGGCGCCTATGGTAATTAGGATTATTACGGGTACAAATTTTCATCAAGTTGAAATTGGATCTCGATGGAAATTAACTTAAATCGTTGAAATTGTCAAAATAGATATACCTACAGATTCCACGACGTTTTTCCTAGGTAATGGTAATGGTAATTAATACCTTCGGAACGCATCATCCAATATAATTGAAATTTTGAGGATCTGGGTAACTTTTTGCACCGCTTCTACCATTGTCATCCAATTTCACCACTTTCACTTCAATTTCGGTCAAGTGACGTCAACTTTCGGTTTGTTGAAGAAAATGATAAAAAAATTATACAGTGGAACACGATGGTACGCGTTCCGAAGTTATCATTTGGGAGAAACCTTGTGGAACACCCTGTATAAAGATAAGTTTGTATTTTTTCTATTCCAGGCTCTATTCCAGGCTCTATTCCAGGCTCTTGAATTGTCTTGTATGATAATTATGTATGGGAATGGGACTAATATTTCAGAATACGCTTAAGAAAAATGTATCATATATCCTATTGTGTTGCCACAGGTGGCCCTATATGGCCAGATCTGGCCCTTTCTAAGATAGAGTGACCCGTTGGCCACTCTTTTTCGAATCTGGCCCGTTTCTCCATAACAAGCCAAATCATTATTTTTTTATGTAAAATAAACGTTTTTGGGCGTGGCACCCCTCCGGCAGGCTTTCTCTCGTCTTTTTAATTTGAAAACGGTTTGCCCAAAATTTTGGAATCTGCCCCCTTTTAAAAATATAGTCTGGCACGAAATTTTCAGAGCCTGTGGCAACACTGTCCTATACAAAGGTTTTTGGGAATGCCCGATTCAATATGGTGGTATCTGCAATGTTGCCAAGTGTACCGTTTCTAAGATGCCGTATGCAACTTAATTTTCTCAAATGAGATGTCACTAGGTATTTACTTTTATATTGTAATCAATTCAGTGTCCCAACACTACTGAAACTATACTTCTGCCTGAAACCCCTAAATGCCAATCCTTCATTTGACTAATATATTTAAAATATGGCAACACAGCTTGACTTTCATTCGAAAAAGTCAAGTTACATTCGGCATCTTAGAAACTTGATATTGCAAATATCATCATTATAGGCAATTCGAATCCAAGGATAATACACACTACTACTCTGCTACTACTACAGGATAGAATTATCCTCATAAGACGTTTTTGTGTAGATCAAATCTCAAGATTCTCAAACCCCCCACCATGCCAAAGAACCAGTGAGGGGGTTAAAACTAATAATGCGATTCATCGAAAAAAGAGTTTTTGTAAGAATATAGCCATTTCCACCCTAATCTTGGGTACAAATGGTACCTACTGAAAGTTATAGATAGTACCAATATACACCGTTTAGGGAACCTCACTTGACTTGCAAATCACTTTCAGAAGGTGGTTTAAAGGGGTAAAACTACTTATTGTGATCCATGAAAAAAAGGGTTTTTATAAAAATATGAACATTTCCACTTCCACCCTAGTGTCGGGCACAAATGGTACTGGAAATTGTAGGCAGTACCAATATACACAGTTGATATACTCACTTGACTTGCAAATTATACTTTTAGGGTGGTTTGAGGGGGTAAAACTAAAAATTGCGATTCATCGAAAAATGATTTTTTGTGTGTGAAAATATGGACATTTCCATCCTAGTCTCGGGTACAAATGGTACTGGAAGTTATAGACAGTACTAATATACACCGTTTAGGGAAGCTAAAAAGACTTGCAAATAACTTTGAAGGTGGTTTAAAGGAGTGAAACTAATAATTGCGATTCATCGAAAAAAAAGTTTTTGTGAAAATATGGACATCTCCACCTTAATCTCGGGTACAACTCCAGTACCAGTTGTACCCGAGATTAAGGTGGAGATGTCAATATTTTCACAAAAACCCTTTTTTCGATGAATCGCAATTATTAATTCAACTCTAGTACTAGTTGTACCCGAGATAAAGGTGGAGATGTCCAAGTTATAGGCAGTACCAATATACACCATTTAGGAGACCTCACTTCACTTTGGGGGTGGTTTAAGGGTTTGAAACCGAGGTTGAAACTAATAATTCCGATTTATCGAAAAAAGGGTTGTTGTGAAAATATGGACATTTCGACACTAGTCTCTGGTACATATGGTACTGGTAGTTATAAGCAGTACCAATATACATAATGAATATTTTTCAACATAAATGTATATTCTAAACTACGTCCGCTGGCGCAACCAGCTGCCTACGTAGTTGATGACGTCGTCAATGGTGCTATACAAATAGCCCAAAAACGAGGCCGATAAGCATTCCTGTGTATCATTCTTGAATTTGCCATTTTCTCAATTCAATATGGCGCCGTGGGAATAACACAACTTGCAACCGTGAAGGCACTTTCACATTCAACTTCAATTCAAATTGCAATAAATTCAGGTACATTCACGGGCGTCAAATTTGTTTTGACCACGTCGCCATCTTGAATTATCAGCTGATGATAATAATAATAGGCAAAGGAGCAGAATTGGTTCAAATAAAAGCAAAATTTACCATCACTGTCTTCAGAAGTACCACTATCTTCCTCCTCACTACTACACTCAGCCATTTCTTCCTCCTCACACATTTCTTCATCCTCATCAGTGAGCAAAGGCTTGTCAGCAATTAAACAAGCAATAAGGCCGTTTTGCAACTGAATAACCTTATAGTCTTTATTATCGCTTTCGCTTTTAATGGGTGTAGGCAAAACTTTAAGTAAATTATTAACATTTTGAGAACTTAAGTTTACAATGGAAGTTTTGACCGGGGGAATCCCACGGTTACTAGACGATTTGTTCATCATTTTCCTAAATTTGCTGCAGATTTTGTGGAAGTTTTTACAAATAATACGCATATAATAAATTGAGGTATTTTTAAATTTGAAAAGTTTGGTTATGGTAGGCGTCACATATTTACGTCATTTAAGTGTCAAAAAAAAATGGCCTTTGCTACAACCAAAGGACACTTGAACTGGTTCGATTCGGTTCAATTAGGTTCGAACACATTCTTGTTTTGAACCAGTGACGTCACATTGAACCTGGGTTCAAAAAAGTTCGAACCGAACTGGCTTGTGTGGTTCAAACAATCCATCAATTTTCTCGCGTTCACAAGTGATGACGTCATCTACAAATTGGTTTAAACCGTAGTTTGAACTATTCGCCCTGCAAGAAGACACCTTTGTTTTTATTAATTGCTTTTTTAATAATTGTTTATTGCTTAAATTTGTTGATTGGAGTAAAAATAAAAATGTATTTTCTTTAGTTTATATGTAGTAATGCAATGAACACATCAAAATTATTCAAACAGAGCAAGTATTTACATGATTTGTTCTGTTCTGTTTAATAGAGTTCGAGCAGTATCGAAAATTATCGATACTAGGAAAATAATTTTGTTTTTCGATCGATCTGCACTGTTCTCTCACTCTTGAATACGATTATAATGTTCTGGAACAGTTCAAACTTGAAATATTTTGCACTAGGTTCACGTTAGTGTTTTTTAAAGTTGTTCAATCAATTTGCACTTGTTTTCAAAGTGGAGTAAGATAAAGATGCACTATAACGTTATATTTAACTGTTCTATTGGTTATGTGATTGTATTGATCTGGGCCCGGATTCCGAACCCACAAGTCGATAGTATCGTCACTATCGTCTATCTATTTTAAATGGAAGATACTATCGAAGCGTGGGTTCCGAATCCGGACCTTGAATTGTTATTCTGGAACAATTTAACACAAGGTTCACGTAAAGTGTTATTCAAAGTTGTTGAAACAATTTGCACTCGTTTTCAAAATGGAGTAAGATAAGGGAGCACTATAATGTTCTATTAAGCTATTGATTTAAATAATGCGATTGTATTGATCTGGAACAGTTCAAACTTGGAATATTTGGCACTAGGTTCACGTTAGTGTAATACAAAGTTGTTCAATCAATTTGCACTCGTTTTCAAAGTCTCAAAATGAGATTTCATAAAAAGGAGTGGGAGGAAATAATAGTTAAAAAAGGGTTTGGTATTATATGTTTAATGTATACTGTTTACTTTTCAAGTTGAGTCAAATATTTTGATGTTGGTTACAAGAAACGCATTTTTTTGTACCAATTCTACTCTAACTCTAACTTTGCACTAAATAAATTCATTTGTTTAGTAGCATATTGAGTAGCTTGAACAGTAACAATTAGAGCAATTAGAACACTTAGAATAACTCGAACAATAGAAGGAATTCAAATGGAATTAAGGCAGATGGAATGCAGAGTAATTTAAATCGAGTTAGTGTAAATGGAACAAAACTGAAACAGTCAAAGTAGTTCGAACAGTTGAACAGATCAAAAAGAGTCAGTGCACTTGGAACAGTTAGAGTAGAATTACTAAAAACTCATTTCAATTTTCAAATCAGTTATCGTACCACAATTTAAAAATCTCCAAGTACAAAAGCGCCTTCTACAACTCAATTTTGAATCATGCCATTTTTCCCGCTCAATTTTCGTATATTATCGATATGACAAATTCGTATCGATATGCCCCTTCTTCGAATACGCATGCATCGATGTTTGTATATATCGATAATAACTGAAGCTAAAAATTATTACAATCAACCAATAATTAATAATCAAGCAAATAATAAATTAATTATTGCTAAAATACATAAATGAAGTTGAAATTAGGGTGACGCATGCGTAGGGTCCCCTTTTTTACTCCGATATATCGAAAATTATCAAACAGCTGTTTGTACACGTCGTCAAGGATCACGAGCCGTCGTGTGGTTTGAGGTCATCGCGAATATCGAAAAAGTCCGAGAAATTTCCCGAAATTCCCGTCGGAAAATCGGTTCCGGGTGTTCGTCCTGCTCTTCGGCAGTTTTTCCTCATGGAGAACTCCAACTCGGACGGTGTCGTCCTGCCGGACATCTCCGAAGCCGAACAGCTCGCGAGCGAGCACGACGACAATGGCGACGACGAAACTATCGATACGAAAAATATACCAAGGGTTTCGACGACTGTTAATGTTAGACATGCTGGAGTTCCTGTTTCTTTACCTGTTGGTTAGTTCTTCTAGATTTTTCTTGAATTTTCTGAGATTGATCTAGAGGTTTTTCAATTTTCATATACGAGGGATGCTCAATAAATGCAAACAAATGAAATAGAAACTTGTTGGGCAAGGTTCCTAAAGTTGCCTGATAAATGGGAAACAAATGACGTCATCTCAGGTGCCTAGTGGACATTTGCATTATGTTTAAGCACCCAAGATGACGTCATAAAACTTATCCAGGGCTGGAACTATTGCGTTATATACATAGACCTAGCCCAGGCAACCTACCTCTTTCAAAACCTCCTTGACCCTTATTGAAAACTATGCAAAATTATTATTACATATTTTATTTCGAGATCAAGGTTACGTTACAAGGCAAAATTAAATGAAATTCTTCATTAAATTGGTGTAAACCAACTCATTTCCATTAGGCCAAATCAAAGCGCCATCTATATTGCAACACCTAAACCACCCAATTTGCATTGATTCCAATTCCACTAGGTTTACACCGCAATTTTTTTCAACAGGAAGTCTCATTACTAGTACCTTCAATGTGATCACGCAAGACCAAATGCAGCATTTCAAACCAATGCTGTGCGTGGACAATAATGGGTACTTAGCAGATGGTTCCGGTACTGAACTCAAAACCATCGTAATTCAACAGGAAGATGTCAGAGCAAGCTCAGTAAGGACCTGTTAACTAATATTAACCGTTGATTAGTTAACAAAACATTATTTTAATTATTAACAAATTGTTTAGGTCACACCAAATTCGATAGGATCGTGGAGCGAAGCTGCCAACTTGCCCATATTACCTGTTAGGTAATTTATTTGACCCTAAAATGACTAACTTAGTTGTTACAAGTGCAATTTTTAGGTGTAAAAATACGTCAGCAGAGTTGCACAAAGGTCGTTTCGGTTCCGGAGGTCGCGGCCGGTGCATAAAACTGGGAACCACTTGGTACACGCCTAGCGAATTTGAGGCTCTATGCGGTAAAGTATTGTGGAAAAATGGAGTTTTCCAATCGATTTTGGTCAAAAATGACTCTAAAATCATTGCCAAATGGCAAAAAAAATCAATTTTATTAAAGATTTGGTCCACAGTGGTACTGTAGTTATAGAATGACTACAAGCCAACTGGTTAACAAATTGGTACCTACTCTTAAAAAAACGTATCTGATTACGTCACACGAATACCCAGTAATTTTTTCTACTTCGCGCATCTTTTTTGAATAAAGGGCACAAAAGTTACAGAGTTATTCATACAAACACAGGGTTTTTGAAGGAATGACAATTTTACATAACTGGAGTAATTTCTCAAAAACTATAAAAGCCACAAATATGAAATTTTCTGGAATCCTTCATTTATTAGAGCAGGATATAAGTACCAAAAATATAAAAAATTTCAATTTTTTGTAAGGGTTACCTCCTTTGGATTTTTATTTACAAATCTTCAAACCTCGATATCTCGGTAACCAAAAGCGGTACTGGGACAAAATTTTCAGAGATTGTAGCTCTTAACAAGAGCTTTCAGATGATGTTCAGCTGAATTCGCTAGCGTTTATAGTTTTTGAGAAAATCGAATGCAAAGTTTTGGACAAAATATCGACTAAGTTTCAAATTTGAGGCTCAATATCTCTGAGACTCTCCGAGATATTGAGACGAATCTTGCACGGGCTTATAGAGAATTTAATTCTCTTTCGAATGATATATAATTGTAGGCAATTTCCTCAAATTTCATCGAAGATCTTAGCAATTATTCATAAGCGTCTCAGGAATTCAAAAAATTACTAGAGCCAAAAAAGTAAGATTTTATTTTGGATTTTTTTCCTCATCGAAATTTTCAAATATGAATGATGTTAGAGTTGTTTCCGACTAATTTGGGCTCGCTCTATCGATTTCTGAAGTCGAAATTGCGAAAAATCCAAAAATAAAAATTTTCAATTTTTTGCACTTTTTCCTAAGGGTAACCCCTTTGGATTTCAATTTGCAAATATTCAAACCTCGATATCTCGGTAACCAAAAGCGGTACTGGGACAAAATTTTCAGAGATTGTAGCTCTTAACAAGGGCTTTCAGATGATATTCAGCTGAAATCGCTACGGTCTATAGTTTTTGAAAAAATCGAATGTAAAATTTTGGACAAAATATCAACTAAGTTTCAACTTTGAGGCTCAATATCTCTGAGACTCTACAAGATATTAAAACCAATCTTGCACCGGTTTATAGAGAATTTAATTCTCTTTCCAATGATCTATAATTGTAGGCAATTTCCTGAAATTTCATCAAAGATCTGAGCAGTTATCCATAAGCGTCTCAAGAATTCAAGAAATTCCCGGAGCCAAAACTAAGATTTCATTTTGTATTTTTTTTCCTCTTCGAAATTTTCAAATGTAAATGATGTTAGAGTTGTTTCTGACTAATTTGGACTCGCTCTATCGATTTCTGAAGTTAGAATTGAGAAAAACCAAAAAATAAAAATTTTCAATTTTTTGCACTTTTTCCTAAGGGTAACCCCTTTGGATTTCAATTTGCAAATCTTCAAACCTTGATATCTCAGTAACCAAAAGCGGTACTGGAACAAAATTTTCAGAGATTGTAGCTCTTAACAAGGGCTTTTAGTTGATGTTCAGCTGAAATCGCTAGCGTTTATAGTTTTTGAAAAAATCGAATGTAAAATTTTTGACAAAATATCAACTAAGTTTCAATTTTGAGGCTCAATATCTCTGAGACTTTACAAGATATTAAAACCAATCTTACACCGGTTTATAGAGAATTTAATTCTCTTTCGAATGATCTATAATTATAGGTGATTTCCTGAAATTTCATCAAAGATCTGAGCAGTTATCATCCATAAGCGTCTCAAGAATTCAAGAAATTCCCAGAGAGAGATTTCATTTTGGATTTTTTTTCCTCGTCGAAATTTTCAAATGTGAATGATGTTAGAGTTGTTTCCGACTAATTTGGACTCGCTCTATCGATTTCTGAAGTCGAAATTGCGAAAAATCCAAAAATAAAAATTTTCAATTTTTTGCACTTTTTCCTAAGGGAACCCCTTTGGATTTCAATTTGCAAATATTCAAACCTCGATATCTCGGTAACCAAAAGCGGTACTGGGACAAAATTTTCAGAGATTGTAGCTCTTAATAAGGGCTTTCAGATGATATTCAGCTGAAATCGCTACGGTGTATAGTTTTTGAAAAAATCGAATGTAAAATTTTGGACAAAATATCAACTAAGTTTCAACTTTCAGGCTCAATATCTCTGAGACTCTACAAGATATTAAAACCAATCTTGCACCGGTTTATAGAGAATTTAATTCTCTTTCCAATGATCTATAATTGTAGGCAATTTCCTGAAATTTCATCAAAGATCTGTGCAGTTATCCATAAGCGTCTCAAGAATTCAAGAAATTCCCGGAGCCAAAACTAAGATTTCATTTTGAATTTTTTTTCCTCTTCGAAATTTTCAAATGTAAATGATGTTAGAGTTGTTTCTGACTAATTTGGACTCGCTCTATCGATTTCTGAAGTTAGAATTGCGAAAAATCCAAAAATAAAAATTTTCAATTTTTTGCACTTTTTCCTAAGGGTAATAACCCCTTTGGATTTCAATTTGCAAATCTTCAAACCTTGATATCTCAGTAACCAAAAGCGGTACTGGAACAAAATTTTCAGAGATTGTAGCTCTTAACAAGGGCTTTCAGTTGATGTTCAGCTGAAATCGCTAGCGTTTATAGTTTTTGAAAAAATCGAATGTAAAATTTTTGACAAAATATCGACTAAGTTTCAAATTTGAGGCTCAATATCTCAGAGACTCTACAAGCTATTGAAACCAAATTTACACAGGCTTGATCTGAGCAATTATTCATGAGCATCTCAATGGTCATAGCAAAGCCCTGTCATAGTCTTTATACCATCAAGCTGAAATATCCCAAACTTTTCCCCGGCGAAATTACTTACAGAGCTCGAGGCCATCTTTTACAAATACACAAACTTAGCTGTTTATTTTCAAACTCAGAATTTGGTTTCTGGGCCCATAACCTGATGGAATCCTTTGATGCACCAAATATAGGGTTGTGAATGTAATAGAAAAACAGGATTACACTTGATTACGATTTAACACTGTTCTAATTCATCTCGTGAAACTTACAAAATTTCACTAATAAATTGACATTATATATTAACATATTGACATACCTTTTATTAATCATCTACCTATTTACTATGACTATAGCATCTGATGTAGCAAATTTGACTTTTGTGCAGTCAATGATTGAGCTTCTAAGTAAACTTTACCATTGTTTTCGCAGGAAGAGCATCCAGTAAAGACTGGAAAAGAAGTATACGCTTCGGCGGCCGAAGTTTACAAACCCTAATCGACGAAGGCATCATTTTACCGCACGCGACTAGCTGCACATGCGCAGCTTGCTGCGACGACGAATCAGCCACTGGACCAGTAAGACTCTTCACACCTTACAAACGGAAACGGAGGAAAGAGAGCGACAACGCTAACAAACGAGCAGCTGGAACAGCTGCAAACGCAAACACTTCTAATGAAGAGGACAGCGATCATCTTGGCGAACATCAAGCAAAAGAAGAAGCTTGGCAAAGCCTGGCTGATGGCCTGGATTCAAATGATTATCAACTAATGGAGCCTATTGCAGTGCTGGATCCTGGAGTTTATATTAAAAAATTGGAAGAGATTTCCAATCAAATTAATAGGCTTTCTGGAGAATATAAAAGGTATAGTAGGTATATGAGTCAAAAAAAGACAATAATACATTATTGAAATTTTTCAGATGTGTAGACGACTTGAAAGAAAGCGTAATGCGCCAGCAAGAAAAACACGAACGAGAAAAAGAATCTGCTATTTTAGCAGCAAGAGTGGAAGCCCAAGTAGCTGCTTTAGGCTCTGAAGGAAACGGAGATCCTACGTTGCAGCAATTGGATACTGACAACCAGAAAAAGTGTGCCAACTGTAATAGAGAAGCTCTAGCAGAGTGTTCACTATGCAGAAGAACTCCTTATTGTTCAACGTTTTGTCAAAGAAAAGATTGGGCTTCGCATCAAGTTGAATGTGTCAGAGGTGTTGCGTCTGATAATGGAGGCCAGCAAAGCATTATGCTTATTGTGGAAAGTACTGACCAACAATGAGTTTTTGACTCAAATGTACATACTTTGTAAATTAGCTATTAAGATTTTATCATCCATTAGGTTAATAAACAGAAATAACTTCATCCATTAATTAATTTCCATATAGGTATGTGATAATATTAATAATTAAATTCCAGAGTTGATTGAAATTTCTATTACTTAATCACCATTTTAATTCGTTAATAATTATCAGAGGTAGTTAATTTTTGTATGCTCATTACCAAAAATATAGTTTGTAATGTTTGAAAATACATACATGGGTTTTATTTAATAATTATTAAATATTTATGCTAATTGGCTTAAAAATAACTTATTTCGGGCACTTGATAAATGAAAGATAAAGCCACTTAATTCTGATGCTATGTAATATAATACGTAAACATTGGACTTGTTATCATTTTTATTCTAATTAAGTTGGAGCTTTTGTTTATCGATGCTAATTGTTGTAATTTTTAGACGCTGTTGTCAGATTTTAATTGTCTGAATTATTCTAGTTTTTTCTTTAAACGTAGAATGCAATTTTTACTGTAGATGCATTGAAACTCACTATCACTGACAAGATTATAGAGTTTATTGGTTTACAAAGTTTTCAAAAGTGTAGAGTATTATTTGATTTGCTCTGCAATTTACTGTAGAACATTTACAAGGTAATTACTAGGTAGAAGACACTATGTAGAATACAATCTTAGGATTCAGCTTGATATTAAATCGAGCCTACAAAATGTATTTCTGAAAGTTTTAAGCAGGTACAATAACCTATTGCATGGTAAGAGTTCTACAGCTTGGTATATATAGTCAGTCTGGGTCAATCTAATAGTTAAATCTTAAACCAAGTAAATTCCTATGGAAAAATGTAGAGATTCATAATCAAGAAAACAAAGTTTCATAGTAATTTTTCTAACTTCTCCCATGACTCTGCATGATGAGATGAGCCTAATTTTCCAGGATTTGTAGAGCTCTCTTACATTCTTTCAGCTTTTTATCTATATGATACAGCTGAAAGATGATTTTTCAAAGTTTTCATAAATTCATAACCAATTAGGGAGAGGTTTTCCTTCTAAAAACGTCAAATTTCAATTGGTTTTATGTGGAGATTTTTAATTTAGATGATCATTTGGGACCCCAAAAACAAAGATTAATCGTGGGATTTGAAGCCGAAAATTGGTTCTGAGGTGAGTAAATGAGTTTTAGAACTTACGATCACTGAAAATTTCAGCTTCCCATCTATTATATATATAATGATACAACTGAATCTTGAGCTCTGGTTCAGAAAACATTACTAGGTAAGCCAATCATGAAGTTCAGAGAACAAGAGATTTTAGTTACTAGTTCTCATTTAGAACTTTCTTCTTCTGAAGCTTCACATAACTAATTTTGATGTTTTTGACCCATCTGAAGCCATTGTAGAGTCAAAGAACTTCAGAAAAAAGTCTCAAATGCATCAAAATTGAGCCAACAAACAGAACTGTTACAAGTAGGTACATTACTAAAGTACTTGGAGTACCTACAATAGTCACTGGAAATAATTGAAGTACAAAGTACATTTTCTTCCTAAATGTACTCCAATTACCAAATACCTCCTACTTAATAAAAAAGTACCTACTGGAGTTCTTAACTTGAAGGAAGTACAATTGAAGTATTTCTTATCTTCAAATACATTTTGAATTCTGACTAACTTGCTCGGTAACCGTTGAGCAAATTGCATTGAAATTTTGAGCATTTTGTAGCTCTCAATAAGCTTCAAAAAGCCTGTAATTTACAATATTCCTAGGTTTATAGTTTTTGAGCAAATTGAGTTTGAAGTTTTTGACAAAATTCGGACTTAAAGTCAACTTTGAGGCTCAATTGCTCCAAAACTATTTGAGCAGTACAACTCAATTTTACACAGATTTGTAAAGAATTTAATGCTCTTTCCAATGGTGTATAGTTTATTTCAATTTGCTCGAAATTTAACAAAGATATGGGCAATTGTTCATGACCATGTCATGATTTAAAAAAGATTTCAGTGCCAAAAATAGGATTTTCTCTTTATTTTTGATTCTGCTTAAAATTGCCATTTGGAAATGACGTCAGGGTTATTTTCCACTAATTTTGACTCACTTTATCGATTGGTGAAGTCAAAATTCAGCAAAACTGAAAAACAAAAAAATCGAGTTTTTCATAAGCCCTTTGAATTCTGATTTCAAAATATTCAAACTTCAATTGCTCGGTAACCGTTGAGCAAATTGCATTGAAATTTTCAACATTTGCGGCTCTTATCAAGCTCTGAATGGCCTGTAATTTACAATATTCGTAGGTTTACAGTTTTTGAGAAAATTGAATTTGAAGTTTTTGACAAAATTTGGACTAAAAGTTAACTTTGAGGCTGAATTGCTCAGGAACTATTTGCGCTAGCAAACTCAATTTAGTACGAATTTGTAGAGAATTTAATGCTCTTTCCAATGATATATAATTTATTTTAATTTGCTCAAAGTTTAACTACGATATCGGCAATTGCACATGGCCATGTCAAGATTTTGAAAATTTTCGAGACCCAAAACTAAGATTTTTCTTGTTAATTTTTTTGCATCTTAAAAAGGCCATTTGAAAATGATGTCAGAATTGTTTTCCATTAATTTTGACCCGCTCCATCGATTGGTGAAGTCAAAATTGAGCAAAACTAAAAAATTAAAAAATCGAATTTTTATAAGGGGTACCCCTTTGAATTTTAATTCCAAAATCTTCAAACCTCAATTACTCATTAACCGTTGGGCAAATTGAGTTGAAATTTTCAGCATTTATAGCTCTCATTAGGCTCTAAAAAACCTGTAATTTACAATGTTCCCAGGTTTACAGTTTTTGAGAAAATTGAATTTGAAGTTTTTGACAAAATTTGGACTAAAAGTTAACTTTGAGGCTCAATTGCTCAGGAACTATTTGCACTAGCAAACTCAATTTAGTACGGATTTGTAGAGAATTTAATGCTCTTTCCAATGATATATAATTTATTTTAATTTGCTCAAAGTTTAACTACGATATCGGCAATTGCACATGGCCATGTCAAGATTTTGAAAATTTTCGAGACCCAAAACTAAGATTTTTCTTGTTAATTTTTTTGCATCTTAAAAAGGCCATTTGAAAATGATGTCAGAATTGTTTTCCATTAATTTTGACCCGCTCCATCGATTGGTGAAGTCAAAATTGAGCAAAACTAAAAAATTAAAAAATCGAATTTTTATAAGGGGTACCCCTTTGAATTTTAATTCCAAAATCTTCAAACCTCAATTACTCATTAACCGTTGGGCAAATTGAGTTGAAATTTTCAGCATTTATAGCTCTCATTAGGCTCTAAAAAACCTGTAATTTACAATGTTCCCAGGTTTACAGTTTTTGAGAAAATTGAATTTGAAGTTTTTGACAAAATTTGGACTAAAAGTTAACTTTGAGGCTCAATTGCTCAGGAACTATTTGCACTAGCAAACTCAATTTAGTACGGATTTGTAGAGAATTTAATGCTCTTTCCAATGATACATAATTTATTTCAATTTGCTCAAAGTTTAACAACGATATCGGCAATTGCACATGGCCATGTCAAGATTTTGAAAATTTTCGAGACCCAAAACTAAGATTTTTCTTGTTAATTTTTTTGCATCTTAAAAAGGCCATTTGAAAATGATATCAGAATTGTTTTCCATTAATTTTGACCCGCTCCATCGATTGGTGAAGTTAAAATTCATCAAAACTGAAAAATTAAAAAATCGAATTTTTATAAGGGGTACCCCTTTGAATTTTAATTCCAAAATCTTCAAACCTCAATTACTCATTGACCGTTGGGCAAATTGAGTTGAAATTTTCAGCATTTATAGCTCTCATTAGGCTCTAAAAAACCTGTAATTTACAATGTTCCCAGGTTTACAGTTTTTGAGAAAATTGAATTTGAAGTTTTTGACAAATTTTGGACTAAAAGTTAACTTTGAGGCTCAATTGCTCAGGAACTATTTGCACTAGCAAGCTCAATTCAGTACAGATTTATAGAGAATTTAATACTCTTTCCGATGATATATGATCTATTTCAATTTGCTCGAAATTTAACAAAAATATGGGCAATTGTTCATGACCATGTCAAGATTTTGAAAATTTTCCAGAGTCAAAAATAGGATTTTTCTTTATTTTTGATTCTACTCAAAATGGCCATTTGGAAATGATGTCAGGGTTGTTTTCCAATAATTTTGACCCACTCTATCTATTACTGAAGTCAAAATTGAGCAAAATTGAAAAATAAAAAAATCGAGTTTTTCATAAAAGGTACAAATATTCAAACCTCAATTGCTCAATAACCGTTGAGCGAATTGCATTGAAATTTTCAGCATTTGTGGCTCTTATTAGATTCTAAATGACCTGTAATTTACAAAATTCCAAAAACCAAGAAATTTGCTCTTAGGTATGGGGTAACTACTACTACATTATTTCAAAATGAGAAATAAATTTGTTCTTTATACAACGTATTAGGTATAGGTAGGTAAATACTTCTAAGTAGTACCATAACAAAAATACCTGGAACATCCAAAATCTTACCAAACTTGGCTACGTTGCGGGGTACTTTCGATTTCGAAAATGTTCACTGTCAAGAGTACTCGGGTCAGAGAACCCGATGAGGAGGATACAAAAATGCAGCGCAACATAAAGAATCGTACTTGTCCTTGTCCTTGCTGACTGGCGCGAGGTATCGTAACAAATTATTCAACAAAAAAAAAAAAGAAATGGCTCACAGAGATAAGGCTTCTAATCAATTGTTGGATTACAAATTAAAAAATTCGGTAAGCAAATTTTTATTTGGAATTTATTATTAGTACCGTTACTTTTTATGGTTTCTACCCACTGTATACATTACTATTTAGGCTATGAAACCCAGTTTTTTAATAAATTTCTATTAGTTATTTTGAAATTTGACCCAATGTTTATTAAGTACTTAATTATTTCAAATATAGATTATATAGGAAAACAAGTTTTCGGGCTTTCTACGTTTCCATTTATTTAATTATATCGCAGGATTTGCAATACACTATACACGATTGTGAATTTGTTATAGAAACAATACTTGAGTGCAAAATATTTAGAAATGTTTTTCAAGTTCTGATGCGTTTTTTCATTGAAAAATTTAAACAAACTGATTTCAATTGTATATGGTTAGAAAGAGCATTAAATTGTCTATAAATCTGTGCTAAATTGGAGTTTGATAGCTCAAATACTTTTTGAGTAATTGAGCCTCAAAGTTCGATTCTAGCACTTCAAACTAAATTTTCTCAAAAACTATAAACCTGATGGGAATATTGTAAATTACAGGTTTTTTAGAGCTTAATAATAGCTACAAATGCTGAAAATTTAAACTCAATTTGCCCAACGGTTAATGAGAAATTGAGATTTGAAGATTTTGAAATTAAAATTCAAAAACTCGATTTTTTAATTTTTCAGTTTTGCCTAATTTTGACTTCAGCAATCGATAGAGCGGGTGAAAATTAGTGGAAAACAACTCTGACATCATTTTCAAATGGCCTTTTTAACAGGCAAAAAAATTAAAACGAAAATCTTAGTTTTGACTCTGGAAAATTTTCGAAATCTTGACATGGCCATGTGCAATTGCCCATATCTTTGTTAAACTTTGAGCAAATTGAAATAAATTATATATTATCGGAAAGAGCATTGAATTCTCTATAAATCTGTACTGAATTGAGTTTGCTAGTGCAAATAGTTCCTGAGCAATTGAGCCTCAAAGTTAACTTTTAGTCCAAATTTTGTCAAAAACTTCAATGTCAATTTTCTCAAAAACTGTAAACCTGGAAATATTGTAAATTACAGGTTTTTTAGAGCTTAATAAGAGCTACGAATGCTGAAAAATTTAACTCAATTTGCCCAACGGTTAATGGGAAATTAAGGTTTGAAGATTTTGAAATTAAAATTCAAAGGGGTACCCCTTATAAAAACTCGATTTTTTAATTTTTCAGTTTTGCCTAATTTTGACTTCAGCAATCGATAGAGCGGGTAAAAATTAGTAGAAAACAACTCTGACATCATTTTCAAATGGCCTTTTTAAAACGCAAAAAAATTAAAACGAAAATCTTATAGTTTTGACTCTGGAAAATTTTCGAAATCTTGACATGGCCATGTGCAATTGCCCATATCTTTGTTAAACTTTGAGCAAATTGAAATAAATTATATATTATCGAAAAGAGCATTGAATTCTCTATAAATCTGTACTACATTGAGTTTGCTAGTGCAAATAGTTCCTGAGCAATTTAGCCTCAAAGTTAACTTTTAGTCCAAATTTTGTCAAAAACTTCAATGTCAATTTTCTCAAAAACTGTAAACCTGGAAATATTGCAAATTACAGGTTTTTTAGAGCTTAATAAGAGCTACGAATGCTGAAAAATTTAACTCAATTTGCCCAACGGTTAATGAGAAATTGAGGTTTGAAGATTTTGAAATTAAAATTCAACCCCTTTGAAAAAATGCCAAAAACTGAAAATTTTTATTTTTCATATTTTCCAAATTTTGACTATTCCAATCGCTAGAATAGGTCCAAATTAGTCAAAAAAAAACTCTGACATCATTTCCGAATAGCAAATTCAAAAGGCAAAAACTCCATATGATTCTGGAAAATATTTCAAATCCTGACAATGTTAGGAATAATTACGTGTATTTCCATTAAAATTTGAACAAACTGATTCAAATTATATATTTTTAGAAAGAGCATAAAATTCTATATAAAATGGTGCTAAATTGGTTCTCATTGCTCATATATTCTTCGAGAAATTAAGCCTCAAAGTTGAAAAATTTCACTAGAAATAATGTATCCATAATACAATGAGAAATTATGATTTCCTAAAGTTTCAGAGGGTTTTCAATTGTATTTTTTCCAAAAATTTTGAAATTTCAAGTTTTCTTGGAACGATAATTCCAATCCGAATAAATGATTTGTATATGTTAAATTTGACATTACATATAGTTGCTTAATGACCCTTTTTAAGAAGTAGTAGGTACACTTGTTTTAATTTCCTAATGCATTTGAATCACTTATATGCATTTAAATCTATCTAATTGACTCAAAAGCTTTTAACACATATAGATACCTACATAATAATTGTTTCGAGCATGCAAATCTTCAACTATCTCATATTCTTCATTTCAGAGTCCCACTACTACTACAGGCCATGGTACCCCAATTGTAGATAAAAACGCACCCCTAACCGTAGGACCCAGAGGACCCATTCTACTCCAAGATGTCCATTTGGTTGAAGAACTCGCCCATTTTGCCAGAGAACGTATCCCAGAACGTGTCGTCCACGCCAAAGGAGCCGGAGCTTTTGGGTTCTTCGAGGTGAGAACTTTTAAATGTCACCTTTTAAAAAAAAAACGTGTCACCATTTATCGTTGGATCGAAGGTCAATGGCGAGGATTATCAATTTAATTCGTTAATGTCGCTATTTTGCTTTTTAATTAACGAGATATCTGCTATTGCTTGACCTTTATACGGCGGTTGCAATGCAAATTGAGATCAAGATAAAAATAACATTTGAGTTTGTAACTTATTAGTCAAATCTGAGGTAATATTTCACATATTTTAATGTAAAAATAAGTATTCTGAAATAGAATTGAATGCTCTTCAAGATGAAACAAGTTTCATTCCAATATTTGGAACGGTTTTGAAGATATGGGCTTCCAAATTTGAAACTTTGTGTCAGATTTCCATAGAGCTTCTTTGGTGCTTAGTCGAAAAAAAATTCTGACTTTACCAATTGAGAAAAGGAGGTCAAATTTAATAGAAAAACTTTCTGGCAACTCTATAATAAAGGTTTCAAGGCTTGAAATAAATTGAAAAGACTTATTGGTCTCTGAAAATTTCATTTATTCGACATGGCCTCACAAACTCATCTATTACTCTGGTAATATTTCACATATTTCAAAGTAAAAATCACTATTCTGAATCAGAATTGAATGCTCTTCAAGATGGAACAAGTTTCATTCTAATATTTGGAACGGTTTTGAAGATATGAGCCTCCAAAGTTGAAACTTTGTGTCAATTTTCATAGAGCTCCTTGGGTGTTACTTGGATTGTGCATGTGCATGGAATACAAATTGTTTCCTTCCTTACTAAATAAATTTATTATTGTTGAAGAAACTGGACCGATAATCATTCAGCAACTTTTCCTATTCACAAAAAATGTGCATTCCCTTTTAGGTAACCCACGATGTTTCCCAATACTGCGGAGCCAAACTCTTCGATACAATCGGCAAAAGAACCCCAATCGCTGCTAGATTCTCAACAGTCGGCGGTGAATCAGGTTCAGCAGACACAGCCCGCGACCCTCGCGGTTTCGCCGTCAAATTCTACACAGAAGACGGAATCTGGGACTTGGTAGGCAACAACACCCCAATTTTCTTCATCCGCGATCCCACCATGTTCCCTAGTTTCATCCACACCCAGAAACGCAACCCCCAAACCCACCTCAAAGATCCAGACATGATGTGGGACTTTCATACTTTGAGGCCTGAATCTATGCATCAGTGGTTGTTTTTATTTGGGGATAGAGGAATTCCTGATGGGTACAGGCACATGAATGGATATGGATCCCATACTTTTAAGCTTGTGAACAAATATGGGCAATTCAACTATTGCAAGTTCCATTACAAAACTAATCAGGGGATTAGATGTTTGACTGCGGACAAGGCAGATCAATTAGCTTCTGAGGATCCTGATTATGCTATTAGGGACCTTTTTAATGCTATTGCTAAAGGAGATTATCCTAGTTATACTTTGTATTTCCAGGTAACTATTAATGTTTCATGATTAATATTATAGTAAAATTGATTTATTAAATAGATTATGAGCCCTGAGCAAGCCAACCAAGTCAAATTTAACCCATTTGACATGACCAAAGTGTGGCCTCAAAGCGAATTCCCTCTGATACCTGTAGGTAAACTGACATTCAACAGAAATCCAGAAAACTACTTTTCAGAGGTTGAAATGATTGCAATGAACCCAGCACATTTGGTACCTGGAATTGAACCATCGCCTGATAGAATGTTACAAGGTAACCATTACAATATTTGTTTAAAAATAAATTAATTATTATTGACTTTTATTATAGGTCGTTTGTTTGCTTATGGAGACACTCACAGGCACCGTCTAGGCCCCAACCACCTTCAAATCCCAGTCAATTGCCCATTCAAAGTGCGCAACTACCAAAGGGATGGTTTTATGGCGATAAGCAACCAAGGTGCTGCCCCCAACTACTACCCCAACAGTTTTTCTGGGCCTGAAGCTGATGAAAAAGTCAAAACTTTCTACCCTCCTTATCAACTAAGTGGAGAAGTGACCAGGACTGATGATTCATTCAAAGAAGACGATTTTGATCAGCCTAGGACTTTTTGGAGGAAGGTTCTAGATGAAGCAGCTAGGGAGAGATTGGTTAATAATATGGTTGGCAGTTTGAAGCAGGCCAGCGATTTTATTCAAGAAAGGGCTGTAAGGAACTTTTACAAAGTGGATGAATCACTTGGTAGAAGAATTGAGGAACAATTGAATATTGTTAGACGTGCCAGAGCTAATCTGTAATTAATAAAGCATTAAATAACAAAATATAGCTCGTTTTATTATTATTATTATTTATTTAGGATGAACAACATAGAAGCTACTAAAAAAATAAATAATTTATCACATTTGTAATAAGAGTTAATACAATAATTGAACTAAATTGAAACAAACAACATTGCTTTTTGTCAAATTTGTTTTACATTAGATCTACTTTTCTCTGGCTTGTTGTCTTTCAAGGTGGCCCTTCCACATGGTGTAAGCCAGGCCTAAAGTTAGAGCTCCTACTGCTGCGCCTTGGGCTCCCACACGCAGTTGCATCAGGTAAATGCTGGTGCTCATTTTGCCTCTGTTTTTGTACATGTAGGCTCCGTAACCAACTGCTACAGATAGAACACCAATGGCTATAAAGAAGAAATTGTAGTTTTTATGTTTTGTGATTTTAATGTACAATTACCTATAGGGAACATGGGTGCTTCTTTGGTTTTTCTACTCAATCTGTCTGATTGAGATTCCTGTTCGTACAAAATGACGTCTTCATTTCCCATTTTACCTGTTGCTGCAATGAAAAATGTGTAGTTTATAATAATTGGATGTAATTCTGTCTGATATACATGTAAAGACTATACACACATATATGCCTACATTTTTATAAAGTTTTCACCAATTCATGCATTTATCTCAATAAGTTTCAAAGTACATTTGAATTATAGTAATTCAACAAATAAATTATGAAACAAAATGAGTGAAATACTTCTGTCTTGTTTAATATTTTCTACATTTTTTTTTTGGGACAGCATTTCAATAAGTCTATAAGAACAAAAGACTAATGAAGCTTCTCAAGGAATTGTAGGGTGCAAAATACTCATTTTCAATGATTAAACCCAGTGAACACATATATTCTGTGCCAGATATAGTTCAAATATTCATCATTACTGACTCTCAAATCAATAAAAAAGTTCTCTGAAGGAAATCAAGATCTAGTAACAGTTCAGATTTGAATTATCACTGGCTGGAACATTCTTCTGGCCAAAACTTTGATTATTAATGGCATTTGAATCACCAGAAAAATTTTCTACATGAAATCAAGAGCTGGGAATAGTTCAAATTTTGATCGTTACTGGCTCTTGACTCAAAGTTATGACCTTTCAAAGTTTTCCAAAATCTAAATCATAAGGTTCCTTCTTACTAAAACGATGAAATTTCAAATTTTTTTTTGTCGAGATTTTGTATCCTAATGGTCAATCAATATACCTCAAATTCCATACACTAAATTATTCTCAGATTTAAAGCCGAAATCTATGAAAAAAGGCACTCAATTGAAAAATTGATAAATCACCCCAAATTGCTTAACACGATTTTATCTCAGGAACTATAAGTGCAAATGAGCTGAAATTTTCAGGCATTGTAGTTCCTTGATTGGGATAAAATTCAGTGAAAGTTTCAGCTTTCTATCTATAATAGAACAAAAGTTATGACCTGTCAAAGTTTTCCAAAATCTAAATCATAAGGTAGGTACCTTCCTACTAAAACGCTGAAATTTCAAATTTTTCTTGGTTGAGATTTTGTGTCCTAATGATCATTTGGGATCCCCCAATCTCCATACACTGAATTATTCCCAGATTTGAAGCTGAAATCTATGAAAAAAGGCACTCAGAAAAATTGAAAAATCACCCCAAATTGCTTAACACGATTTTATCTCAGGAACTATAAGTGCAAATGAGCTGAAATTTCCAGGGATTGTAGTCCTTTGAAAGGGATAAAATTCAGTAAAAGTTTCAGCTTTCTATCTATAATAGAAAAAAAGTTATGACCTTTCAAAGTTTGCCAAAATCTAAATCATAAGGTAAGGTACCTTTTTACTAAAACGATGGAATTTTAAATTTTTTTTTGTCGAGATTTTGTATCCTAATGGTCAATCAACATCCCCCAAACTCCATACACTAAATTAATCTCAGATTTGAAGCCGAAATCTAGGGAAAAAGACACTCAGAAAAATTGAAAAATTGATAAATCACCCCAAATTGCTTAACACGATTTTATCTCAGGAACTATAAGTGCAAATGAGCTGAAATTTCCAGGAATTGTAGTCCTTTGAAAGGGATAAAATTCAGTGAAAGTTTCAGCTTTCTATCTATAATAGAAAAAAAGTTATGACCTGTCAAAGTTTTCCAAAATCTAAATCATAAGGTAGGTACCTTCCTACTAAAACGCTGAAATTTCAAATTTTTCTTGGTTGAGATTTTGTGTCCTAATGATCATTTGGGATCCTCCAATCTCCAAACACTGAATTATTCCCAGATTTGAAGCTGAAATCTATGAAAAAAGGCACTCAGAAAAATTGAAAAATCGATAAATCACCCCAAATTGCTTAACACGATTTTATCTCAGGAACTATAAGTGCAAATGAGCTGAAATTTCCAGGAATTGTAGTCCTTTGAAAGGGATAAAATTCAGTGAAAGTTTCAGCTTTCTATCTATAATAGAAAAAAAGTTATGACCTGTCAAAGTTTTCCAAAATCTAAATCATAAGGTAGGTACCTTCCTACTAAAACGCTGAAATTTCAAATTTTTCTTGGTTGAGATTTTGTGTCCTAATGATCATTTGGGATCCTCCAATCTCCAAACACTGAATTATTCCCAGATTTGAAGCTGAAATCTATGAAAAAAGGCACTCAGAAAAATTGAAAAATCGATAAATCACCCCAAATTGCTTAACACGATTTTATCTCAGGAACTATAAGTGCAAATGAGCTGAAATTTCCAGGGATTGTAGTCCTTTGAAAGGGAAAAAATTCAGTAAAAGTTTCAGCTTTCTATCTATAATAGAAAAAAAGTTATGACCTTTCAAAGTTTTCCAAAATCTAAATCATAAGGTAAGGTACCTTCCTACTAAAACGCTGAAATTTCAAATTTTTCTTGGTTGAGATTTTGTGTCCTAATGATCATTTGGGATCCCCCAATCTCCAAACACTGAATTATTCCCAGATTTAAAGCTGAAATCTATGAAAAAAGGCACGCAGAAAAATTGAAAAATTGATAAATCACCCCAAATTGCTTAACACGATTTTATCTCAGGAACTATAAGTGCAAATGAGCTGAAATTTCCAGGAATTGTAGTCCTTTGAAAGGGATAAAATTCAGTGAAAGTTTCAGCTTTCTATCTATAATAGAAAAAAAGTTATGACCTGTCAAAGTTTTCCAAAATCTAAATCATAAGGTAGGTACCTTCCTACTAAAACGCTGAAATTTCAAATTTTTCTTGGTTGAGATTTTGTGTCCTAATGATCATTTGGGATCCTCCAATCTCCAAACACTGAATTATTCCCAGATTTGAAGCTGAAATCTATGAAAAAAGGCACTCAGAAAAATTGAAAAATCGATAAATCACCCCAAATTGCTTAACACGATTTTATCTCAGGAACTATAAGTGCAAATGAGCTGAAATTTCCAGGGATTGTAGTCCTTTGAAAGGGAAAAAATTCAGTAAAAGTTTCAGCTTTCTATCTATAATAGAAAAAAAGTTATGACCTTTCAAAGTTTTCCAAAATCTAAATCATAAGGTAAGGTAGGTACCTTCCTACTAAAACGCTGAAATTTCAAATTTTTCTTGGTTGAGATTTTGTGTCCTAATGATCATTTGGGATCCCCCAATCTCCAAACACTGAATTATTCCCAGATTTAAAGCTGAAATCTATGAAAAAAGGCACGCAGAAAAATTGAAAAATTGATAAATCACCCCAAATTGCTTAACACGATTTTATCTCAGGAACTATACGTGCAAATGAGCTGAAATTTCCAGGAATTGTAGTCCTTTGAAAGGGATAAAATTCAGTGAAAGTTTCAGCTTTCTATCTATAATAGAAAAAAAGTTATGACCTGTCAAAGTTTTCCAAAATCTAAATCATAAGGTAGGTACCTTCCTACTAAAACGCTGAAATTTCAAATTTTTCTTGGTTGAGATTTTGTGTCCTAATGATCATTTGGGATCCTCCAATCTCCAAACACTGAATTATTCCCAGATTTGAAGCTGAAATCTATGAAAAAAGGCACTCAGAAAAATTGAAAAATCGATAAATCACCCCAAATTGCTTAACACGATTTTATCTCAGGAACTATAAGTGCAAATGAGCTGAATTTTCCAGGAATTGTAGTCCTTTGAAAGGGATAAAATTCAGTGAAAGTTTCAGCTTTCTATCTATAATAGAAAAAAAAGTTATGACCTTTCAAAGTTTTCCAAAATCTAAATCATAAGGTAAGGTACCTTCCTACTAAAACGCTGAAATTTCAAATTTTTCTTGGTTGAGATTTTTGTGTCCTAATGATCATTTGGGATCCCCCAATCTCCAAACACTGAATTATTCCCAGATTTAAAGCTGAAATCTATGAAAAAAGGCACGCAGAAAAAATTGAAAAATTGATAAATCACCCCAAAATTGCTTAACACGATTTTTATCTCAGGAACTATAAGTGCAAATGAGCTGAAATTTCCAGGGAATTGTAGTCCTTTGAAAGGGATAAAATTCAGTGAAAGTTTCAGCTTTCTATCTATAATAGAAAAAAAGTTATGACCTTTCAAAGTTTTCCAAAATCTAAATCATAAGGTAAGGTACCTTCCTACTAAAACGCTGAAATTTCAAATTTTTCTTGGTTGAGATTTTGTGTCCTAATGATCATTTGGGATCCCCCAATCTCCAAACACTGAATTATTCCCAGATTTAAAGCTGAAATCTATGAAAAAAGGCACTCAGAAAAATTGAAAAATCACCCCAAATTGCTTAACACGATTTTATCTCAGGAATTATAAGTGCAAATGAGCTGAAATTTCCAGGGATTGTAGTCCTTTGAAAGGGATAAAATTCATTGAAAGTTTCAGCTTTCTATCTATAATAGAAAAAAAGTTACGACCTGTCAAAGTTTTCCAAAATCTAAATCATAAGGTAGGTACCTTCCTACTAAAACGCTGAAATTTTCAAATTTTTCTTGGTTGAGATTTTGTGTCCTAATGATCATTTGGGATCCCCCAATCTCCAAACACTGAATTATTCCCAGATTTAAAGCTGAAATCTATGAAAAAAAGGCACTCAGAAAAATTGAAAAATCGATAAATCACCCCAAATTGCTTAACACGATTTTATCTCAGGAACTATACGTGCAAATGAGCTGAAATTTTCCAGGAATTGTAGTCCTTTGAAAGGGATAAAATTCAGTGAAAGTTTCAGCTTTCTATCTATAATAGAAAAAAAGTTATGACCTGTCAAAGTTTTCCAAAATCTAAATCATAAGGTAGGTACCTTCCTACTAAAACGCTGAAATTTCAAATTTTTCTTGGTTGAGATTTTGTGTCCTAATGATCATTTGGGATCCTCCAATCTCCAAACACTGAATTATTCCCAGATTTGAAGCTGAAATCTATGAAAAAAGGCACTCAGAAAAATTGAAAAATCGATAAATCACCCCAAATTGCTTAACACGATTTTATTCTCAGGAACTATAAGTGCAAATGAGCTGAAATTTCCAGGAATTGTAGTCCTTTGAAAGGGATAAA